CTACTGGCGGCGCGACAGGGCCTCTCTCGGTTGCGTGCGCCGCCCATCGGCACGCGGGTGCGCAGACATATCGCGACTCTCCCGCTCGCTCGACCCTTTTGCCTCGAGAGGGCGCCGGCCGCGTGTAAGAGGTGGCTGGCGCCCTGAGGCGGCAATTGGTGGCGTGGGGAGTGCGGAGAACGCGCTACTGGCGGCGCGACAGGGCCTCTCTCGGTAACCCTAACCCTAACCCTAACCCTAACCCTAACCCTAGGTCAGCGTGCGGGGCTGAGTCTTAGTCGTCGGCGCTGTGCGGCCAGATCCCCGCAGCGCAGAACCCTGCAACGCTGGCATATCAAGTTGGTGCCGGCTGGGGTGAACACTGGAACAACGTTGAGGATTTCAGCCAACAAAGTTAACGTGGGCGGTTAGGCTGCCCATCTCCTCTCAGAGTTTGACCGTGTTTTATTTTTTTATTTATTTCCCTTACGTCAAGAGCGCTAATCCTGGAGGAAGCAGTTCCCCGCGCCGACCCCACACCACCGCCGTCACCGCCGCGCGCCGCCGCGAGCGTCACCGCCGCCGGCGTCACCGCCGCCGGCGCAGTGTGTCGTGGCTGCCGCCCAGCAGACTCCTCATCTGTTTCAGGGAGTGGTGGCCTGCGGCGCGGACAGATCCGGCAACAGGTAAGTCCACTCGACCCTCGCGGGGGAGGCGGCACCCTCTCGGGGGAGCCGGGCCGGCCTCTCTGGCTCGCGTCTCCACGTCCTGAGACGGGAGCAGCCAACCCATCCAGTCCCATCACCTCCCCCTCGAACGAGGTTTGCCCTCTCCTGTGCAGGATCTGAATCCGCTCCAGCTCCCGGTCGGCTGATCTCGGCCAATCTCGGCTGGGCCTCGCCGTCCACGAGCAGAATCCGGATCCGCTCCACGTCGGTCTCGTTAGCGTGGTCCGCCTGCGAGCACGTTATACTTGCCCCTCAAAGCACATGGCACTCAAGCGCGGCCTGAAGTACGCTGCTGGTTAGGCGGGGAGGGCAGCGGCTGCGGCGAGGACTACTACGGCGGGCAAGGCTGGTTCCGTGGCGGCGGCGATAGTTACTGAGGCGTTTGGGGCTGAAGCTGCTGCGACGGCACGTCTAGAGGGTTGCTGCGGTGGCGACGGTGGCCTCTGCTGTTGCTGAGGCAGCGATGTTGCGAGGTGACTGAGAGAGCATCTAGTGCGGCTCGCGAATCGCTCACGCGCCGCCTCTCGCACGCCCGCGGCCGTGTCTGGCTCGACGCCTTTCAGCGCACGCAGCACCTACCCAGCGGCCGCACGCCTCAGGCGCGTCGGTGAGTGCGGCGGCGGTGGACGCGGCGGCGTGAGGGCGGAGGCGGTGAGTGCGGCGGCGGTGAGTCGGCGTGAGGGCGGCAGCGCTGAGGGCGGCGGCGCTAAGGGCGGCGGCGCTGCAGGCGCAGAGCAGCCAGCCGAAAGGGCTGAGGGCGGACGGAGGGCGGAAGCGATGGCGGAGAGGACGGCGGAGGGCCAGCCGGGAGGGAGAGAACAGCAGCGCTGCTGCTGCTTGTGCACGCCTCTCGGTAGAGCCTGCGTGCCTCTGCCTTGAGCACAAAGTGCCGCATTGTGGACATCGCGAGTGGCCGGTCGCGCCGCCGCAGCAAGACGCCGAGTTTTCGGCCCTCTTTGCGGCCGCAGGGCGAGGAATTGCTAGCTGTGCAGCAGGGCGATAGGGGGGGGCGCCTGGGTAAAATTTAGGTCGGTGTGAAGTGTTTATGTACTCTCTCGAGTTCTCGCGAGGTGGATATCCTTTGGCCGCTTTGGGTAGCGAGGATTGGTGTGACGCGATCCACGCAGGCGTGTTTTCTGACGGCCGACCGTCAGTGCACGGAGTTGCCCTGTTGCCCTGTTTATGTACCTTTAGTGCTGCGAAAGCAATTGAAATGGAGAGGTCCGTATCGCACAGCAACGGGAACTCGAAGCCATTGGCGTCGGCGAACGCCTTACTGGCCGCTGGGCCGTCGTTGCTCACGCCCACAATGGCAACATTGTGTTGGGCATAGTCTTTGATCAGAGCTTGGAAGCTCCGGCCCTCTGCGGTTCACCCGCCAGTGGAGGCACGGGGATAGAACCAAAGGAGGAATCGGTGGCCGGAAAGCTGCTCGCTGCGGAGCGTCTCGCCTGTGTGTATCATGCCCTCAAACGGTGGCGCCTTCATGCCGGGCTCCAGCCCCACCATGCTCCCAATAGCCTCCACAGGTGCGGTAGGCTTGGATTGTGTCCAGTAGAGCACAGCACCGCCGGCAAGAATAGCAGCAACTGCCATCGCCACGGCCATGGTCAGCAGTGAGCTGCCGGACGTCGAGGCCGATTTTGCAGCATGCCTTGGTTTGCGCAGCGCCTTGCCCATCGTCGCAGCGGTCAAGGCGAAGCCGAGAATACGCACACACCGAGCCGACGGAGAGCCGTGTTCATACAGTTCTGATTGATGGTGCACCATCTGTCGCTTACTCTCCTCATCTGTTCGCGGTTCAGATGGGGTTTACCATTGATTAGAATAGCTAAGAGACAGCGTCCTATCGGCGCCCGGTAGCAGCACTGTCACGTAGCGGCCGACCATCTCCCGTCTCCCACACACTCTCATAATATGGCCCGAACGGGCACGTGCGTGCGGCGGGCGGGCTCCAAGCGGTTGACCCCTGCGGCCGATAAATTATCACACGGAGCCGCGCGCCCCAAACGACCCAGGCGGCGAGTAGTCGTCCTCGAACCTTCGACATGTAGTTGCCCATAGTTAGCGCCCGCCCGCCCCCCCCTCTGTCGCTTCGCAAACAAAAAAACAAAATAAAACCACGCAAAAGAGAAAGCGAGGCCAAAAAACGATTGCGTAAACGGCGTCACAAAGCCCGCCGGTTTTGATCGACAATCGTGAGATTGACCGCCGTCGACCAGAGAATTGACGGCAGCATGCAGACGATGTGCCAGCTTGCACGGCGCTCGCGCCGCGCCGGCTGGCTCATCGAGCGCGCGCTCTGGCGCCATCCGGGCCACGCGCGGCGCCGCGCGTGCCGCGCGCCACTCGCTCCGGCTGGCAGTACAGCGCCAAAGCCGCCTCGCAAACACCGCGCACAGCACCAGCATGCTGCCCACCAGGCAGCAGAGTGCTGCACCGGCGTGCAGCGGATGCTGCGGCGCTGCGGCGCCGCCTCCCCGCCCTGTCCACGGAGCAGGCGAGCGGCGGCACGGCCTTCCACCAGCTGCAGGAGGTGCGCACCTCCCAAAGGAAGCACCAGATGCACCTTCAGCACACGCAGCTTTACGCAGCGCAGCACACGGGCTACGCCACGCAAAGCCGACCCTCAGTCTGCCCAAGAGGCTGTCTGCGGAAGGCCTGGCAGCGCGTACTCGCCTCCTCCGCGGCCATGCCCTCCGCCCGGGCGAGCGAGGAGCGGGGACACAACCATTTCTGGAATCGTGTGTCCCCGAAGGAGAAAATTTTTTTTGCACTTTTTCAAAACAAATCTTACACTCACACACTCCTTTGGCTGGCGGGCGCGGGGCGCGAAAAAAAGAAATTTCGCTCAAGTGACCTTACCAGCGCTCGGCGAAGGCCGCGAAAAAGCAGGGGTGCGAAATCGCTGCTGCGTCAGGACGCGGGCACTTTGCGAGAAGCTGATCATGCCCGGTCATCCTCACCCCCCGAAGCAGCTGTGGCCGCGATTTCAGCCGGTCTCGTGACCGCCCCGCCCCGGCAGGCGCGCGTTTGAGCGAGGCCGTCGTGCAGCGCACCGAGAAGGGGCCGGTCGCGCGCAGCGCCACGCCGCAGGCGTCCGCCGGAGGCCCGCCGGAGGCTGTATGCGGCGGCCACTTCCCCTCGGTCTTTCGCCGCGCTCCGGCCGCTCCTTGGCTCCTGGGCGTCTCTCCGAGCGGCTTTGCGCGCCCCCAGCGCGCTGTCGAGGCTGGCAAAGGGGAAGACGCGCGCAGCGCCGCGCAGGCGCTCCGCCGATCAGCGCCCGGCCGCAGCGCGCAGCGCAAGGCTGGTCGCCGGCCGACGGAGACCCCGTAGGGCTGCCGGAGGCTCTTTGGGCCGACACAGTCATGCTGCCTTTTTCCCGCAGGGCTGGTCTCCGGCACGCGGACAACAGCGCGCTCTCGCCGGCGCGCTCTCGGCCATACGCGAGCAGGCCCCCCTCGCTCACGACCCCCCTTCATCACACGCAGGTGAAGCTCGGGCGGTGGCATGGGAGGGGCGAAGCCGTGGGCGTGCCACAGCGATGCAGGGGCTGGCTGTGGGCCTCCGGGCTCCGTCGGGCTCGCGTCTCCTCGGCCATCACGTGCCTACTTTGCGCCGCAGCGTGTCTGTCCGGCCCCTGTTCGTCCTTATTATTCCATATACCATTATTATTCTAAGAAATATTCTTTTGTCGTTTGAAAATCCTACCCCCTAGACTGAGAGAAAGATTTTTAGCAATACCAAACAAATCTAACACTCACACGTCATTTGGTTGGGGCCTGGAGCCCTGTTCACGCGCGCGCGAGACGTGCAGACAGGGTTGCCAGGTGAGAGCGAATGGCGCGGTTCACGCCTCGCACAACAGAGAGAGAGATGCGCTCTGCATGGTGGGACATAAAAGAGAGCGAGTACTTGGGCGAGTAGGCCGTGCGGTCGACGCTGCCGCGCGCGACTTTGCGCGCGAGGCGGCGCAGCTTGAGAACGGCGGTGGGCGAGAAGCCGCCGCCGAACGTCTCGTGGAGCAGCAGGTTGTTTGTTTGTTTTGCTTTCGCAGCACTAAAGGTACATAAACAGGGCAACAGGGCAACTCCGTGCACTGACGGTCGGCCGTCAGAAAACACGCCTGCGTGGATCGCGTCACACCAATCCTCGCTCCCCAAAGCGGCCAAAGGATATCCACCTCGAGAACTCGAGAGAGTACATAAACACTTCACAGCCTTGTTATTGAGAAGAAAATACCTCCTATGGCGCTGTGCGCTGGCCTGTGAGAGGTTGAGGTGCGAGCCCTGTTCACACCGACCTAAATTTACCCAGGCGCCCCCCCCTATCGCCCTGCTGGCACAGCTAGCAATTCCTCGCCCTGCGGCCGCAAAGAGGGCCGAAAACTCGGCGTCTTGCTGCGGCGGCGCGACCGGCCACTCGCGATGTCCACAATGCGGCACTTTGTGCTCAAGGCAGAGGCACGCAGGCTCTACCGAGAGGCGTGCACAAGCAGCAGCAGCGCTGCTGTTCTCTCCCTCCCGGCTGGCCCTCCGCCGTCCTCTCCGCCATCGCTTCCGCCCTCCGTCCGCCCTCAGCCCTTTCGGCTGGCTGCTCTGCGCCTGCAGCGCCGCCGCCCTTAGCGCCGCCGCCCTCAGCGCTGCCGCCCTCACGCCGACTCACCGCCGCCGCACTCACCGCCTCCGCCCTCACGCCGCCGCGTCCACCGCCGCCGCACTCACCGACGCGCCTGAGGCGTGCGGCCGCTGGGTAGGTGCTGCGTGCGCTGAAAGGCGTCGAGCCAGACACGGCCGCGGGCGTGCGAGAGGCGGCGCGTGAGCGATTCGCGAGCCGCACTAGATGCTCTCTCAGTCACCTCGCAACATCGCTGCCTCAGCAACAGCAGAGGCCACCGTCGCCACCGCAGCAACCCTCTAGACGTGCCGTCGCAGCAGCTTCAGCCCCAAACGCCTCAGTAACTATCGCCGCCGCCACGGAACCAGCCTTGCCCGCCGTAGTAGTCCTCGCCGCAGCCGCTGCCCTCCCCGCCTAACCAGCAGCGTACTTCAGGCCGCGCTTGAGTGCCATGTGCTTTGAGGGGCAAGTATAACGTGCTCGCAGGCGGACCACGCTAACGAGACCGACGTGGAGCGGATCCGGATTCTGCTCGTGGACGGCGAGGCCCAGCCGAGATTGGCCGAGATCAGCCGACCGGGAGCTGGAGCGGATTCAGATCCTGCACAGGAGAGGGCAAACCTCGTTCGAGGGGGAGGTGATGGGACTGGATGGGTTGGCTGCTCCCGTCTCAGGACGTGGAGACGCGAGCCAGAGAGGCCGGCCCGGCTCCCCCGAGAGGGTGCCGCCTCCCCCGCGAGGGTCGAGTGGACTTACCTGTTGCCGGATCTGTCCGCGCCGCAGGCCACCACTCCCTGAAACAGATGAGGAGTCTGCTGGGCGGCAGCCACGACACACTGCGCCGGCGGCGGTGACGCCGGCGGCGGTGACGCTCGCGGCGGCGCGCGGCGGTGACGGCGGTGGTGTGGGGTCGGCGCGGGGAACTGCTTCCTCCAGGATTAGCGCTCTGGTTGACGTAAGGGAAATAAATAAAAAAGAAAACACGGTCGAACTCTGAGAGGAGATGGGCAGCCTAACCGCCCACGTTAACTTTGTTGGCTGAAATCCTCAACGTTGTTCCAGTGTTCACCCCAGCCGGCACCAACTTGATATGCCAGCGTTTCACTGTGGCACAGCTCGCGTTACAAAACCTTGATTTGACCATTTGCGCAAAAAGGTACATCTCGGTGCCTTC